AGAGCTAATGTTACAGCTCCTTAATATTCTCAACCTGGACAGTTTATTTTGCAGATCTCATTGATGTCTGTCTCTTTCAGACTTTTTCGATCATTTTACCCAGGAGGAGCCCTTGAAAAAACTTTCAAATTCACTGTACTCCTGCATGCAGGGGTACTCCTATTTCACAAAAATTCAGAACTGTCAGACTAGGGCTTTATTTTTTCTCTTCCTTCAGAAACAAAATCTCAAGCTGAGCAGAAGATTTAGAAAAAAGGTTTCTCATCTAGTCATACACTAGGGCTGAGAAAAGGAGGGAAAAACTATTTTATATGGTTTTGCACTTCTTCCAGGTGGGTTTTAGTAAGATTTGAGATTTCTTGGATCCTTCATTTTCAAGCCCAAGTGTCTGCAGAAACATTTCAAGAGTTCCTTTGGCAACGTGATTGTTTCAGAGTCAGTTTCCTTTTAAGTCTAAGACTCTGGTCACTTTAAGAAAAATGTTTCTCTCTAGAACCTTGCAGAAACTTGTCCATTTGTTCATGCTGACATAGGAGATGCTCAGTTTCCCTGAGTCTGGGTACCAGGCCACTCCCCTGAGTCTCAAACCACTCCCCTAGGTCTCAGGCCCCTCCTTTGGGCCCTGAATTAATGTTGCATGTTGCACTTATTTTCAGCACCAACATGGGAGGATTGAGACTGCAGGAGGCAAGTTCGATCAATTTCAGTGGTCGAGCATGCTCAGTGGAAAGGAGTTTGTCTTTGAATGATCTTCCACTGGAGGCACTAGAGAGCACTGAGTATATTTCAAGTATACTCATTGTGTATGCTGGAATTTGATCACTGAGCATGCTCCAAAAGGAGGAAACAGAGCATGCACAGGGCTGCAGTTACTAAGAGTTACATAATTGAGAACCACCTTCTTAGTTAGATTCATGGATAGTAAGAATATATATATAGGCAGCCAACTATAAAAGGTGGAATCCAAGACAAACTGCAGCAGCTCACTCTTGAGCATGCCTGCATTTTGCCTGTGAAGTGTGTATTCTTTTCTCTTTCTATAAAACTTGTTTTCATGTCCTACTCTGATTCTGCTCTTGAATTCTTTCCAGTAGAGGAGTCAAGAATCTGGTAGGGGACAGGGTCAATGACCCAATCTCCCTTATCCTCTGCTCCAGTAACAATGTGATGAAAAATATCTGCTAAATGGTGTAGTTTCTATAGTCATTATTCATTTTCAAAGCACTCAGCAAAACCTGGCCTACTCTTTTCTTGTAAGTACTATCTGCCAATTCACCTTTCTTNAAATAAAAACATTTTTGTCTTGGAGCAGGTCCACCGAAGAAGGCACCAAAATCCTGTCCTCTCTGTTTTCCCAAATGATACTCTTGTCATCTTTTCAGAATGACTTCAGCCTCATTGAGAATTAACATTTAAACACCTGAAGCTATTTAAAGAAGTTCCAGCTCCATGTACAAGGTGCTGCCTATTCTCTTTGCCTCTGTCAAATCCTTCTAGCCTGGTTTACCAAGCAGGACCACTACCTAGGGGGTAAAAATATATTCCCATGTTTACTAGCTATTAAATAAACATAGCCACTTGTGTGAGAAGCCTTAACATTTACACTACTTTCTAACTTTTTAAAACTTAAGAATAAACCCATCTCTGAGAGCTAATGTTACAGCTCCTTAATATTCTCAACCTGGACAGTTTATTTTGCAGATCTCATCGATGTCTGTCTCTTTCAGACTTTTTCAATCATTTTACCCAAGAGGAGCCCTTGAAAAAACTTTCAAATTCAGTGAACTCCTGCATGCAGGGGTACTCTTATTTCACAAAAATTCAGAACTGTCAGACTAGGGCTTTTTTTCTCTTCCTTCAGAAACAAAATCTCAAGCTGAGCAGAAGATTTAGAAAAAAGGTTTCTCATCCAGTCATATGCTAGGGCTGAGAAAAGGAGGGAAAATCTATTTTACGTGGTTTTGCAGTTCTTCCAGGTGGGTTTTAGTAAGATTTGAGACTTCTTGGATCCTTCATTTTCAAGTCCAAGTGTCTGCAGAAACATTTCAAGAGTTCCTTTGGCAACGTGATTGTTTCAGAGTCAGTNAAGCACTCAGCAAAACCTGGCCTACTCTTTTCTTGTAAGTACTATCTGCCAATTCACCTTTCAACTCAAATATCCTGTCGAGAACTCCTCCTCTGGTAACCCACTGGATGTCTTTATGTAGCAGGAGATTTATGTGCAGTTTGTCCACGTTTTAGCTTAGTTTTTTAAAGCATTCTTGCATATATGGGTCTTTAAGGTTAACCATTTTTTGTAGCATTATTCAGAACTGTCTTTATTTCATTTCCAAGTTTTTGATATCAGCATCTCTTTGAAGAAAACTGTGTTATATAATGTCAACATCAGGATTTCTTTTTTTAAAATGAGGCAAAACTTATGGGGCCAACCATTGATGGGGCACCAAGATGACAGACCTTTGATTTTCAGATATGAAGACAAAATATTAAGTACATACTGGCCTTTGTTTCAGGAAGTTCCTCACAGCAAAAAGGTTTTTTTTGAATTCCATCATCATTTACAAATTTTACAAATGCTACAGTGTAAGATTTGGGATAAAATCCTGACTTACATAGAACGGGAAAACTCACCTCGAAGAGACCATAAGACCAGGAGCACTGCAATCAGCAAGAGGTTTAATATTTCCAACGCGTTGGGATCTCACTGCCAAGCTGGGGTGAGACCCCGTTAGGGTCTTTAGCTGTCTTTTTATACATTTTTCTAGGGCAACTTTTCTGGCAGCCAGGAGACAAAGCCATAAGCAGTGTTTATTGGCTAACTTAAGTGACCCTAAAGCTCATGGTTGGCACCCATCCGTCTCTAGGTGATTTCCCTTCTGACTTCTTTACTGGTAGACACTTGGCCATCTGCTGGTTTGACTTAGCTATGAAGAGACATAGAATCAGCTAAGTACTTCTGTACCTCATAGCTCTGTGGTTACAAGCCTGTGCCTGTGTTAGCAAGAAAACCACAGGCTGTCAGCTCTGAGCTCTTCCTGTGTAG